ATGGCAAAATGCATGTCAGTGTTTTAAATAAATAAATAAATAAATAAATAAATAAATAAATAGTAAGGGGGGTAATAAAACAGTAACAGAAAATAACACAGTGGCAGAATAAACATGTAATTTTTAGAAATAAATAAATAAATAATTATTAAATAATTAAAAACACAAACAAACAAAAACAAACAAACAAATAAATAAATAAATAAATAAATAGTAAGGGAATAATAATACTACAGTAATAGGAAATAACACAGTGGTAGAATAAATGTCATTTTTACAAATAAATAATAAATTAAAAAATAATTAAATAATTAAAAACAAACAAACAAATAAATAAATAAATAGTAAGGGGGATAATAATACAGTAACAGAAAATAACACAGTGGCAAAATGCACGTCACTTTTACAAATAAATAAGCAAATACTATGAAAACATTTATGATACTATTTTAATTAGGGCTGCAGGATATTGGAAAAATCTGGTATTACGATATTTAGTTTTTCTGTGATTTATATATTGTGATATAAATATAATTTTACCAGATGCCTTGATTAGCTCATTTTGGAAAGAAATCATTAATTTTGATTGATTGGGGTGGATCATGAATGAAAAAAAAAATTGCAAGCAAAAATGATTGCAATAGAGCAGGGGTGCCCACACGATTTCTTATAAAGGGCCAAAAACCAAACTTGATTGAAGCTATAGTGGGCCAAAGATAAATAAAAATAGGTGGGGTAATTTATCATGGGTCATTTCCTAATTTATTTAATAATGTTTAAAAATGACTACAAAACATTGCTTTATATAAACTAATGCAGCATTTTTACATTGTATAATGAACTTATTACATTAAAAACAAAACAATCTAATTTATAATAGAATTACACTAGTTTCTGCCTGGATTTGCTTGTCAATGTCTTCTGCATCAGTCAAGTGACAGTAATTTATTTATTTATTTATTTATTTTTTAAACTGATTCATTTACATTTAATTGAAACATTTTATTTCTGTTTGCTTTTTTGTAGCTCAGCAATAAAACAAACAAAAAATGTTACGTCAAATTAAAAATGATGATTATTGTGTTAAAGGCATTCACCCCAATTCTCTCCATCATACTTAATCTCCTCTCAAATGAGATGGTGGGCCAAATCAAAGGTTATAATGGGCCAACTTTGGCCCGCGGGCCCTACTTTGGGCATCTCTGCAATATAGCAAAGAAAAAGACAAATAAACTGTGATTTATGGTTACGGTATTCAGGTACAGAAATTGGATAATGTAACGTAAAATAACACTGTATAGTATTCATTGTACGAATTCAGTTAAATTATTCGTCATTAAACTTACAAATGTATTTTTTTTTTTTTTGTGCACGAATGCTTTAAACTCTCTTGAAATGCCTTTAAAACAGATGCAAATAATAAAGATTCACTCTGTTGTGGTTATACTTTGCAATGACACAAATCACATGACTTCTCAACTGTTCTGTGCTGATCAACTAGAATCCCTACTCAACACTGCATACCCTGCCATGCAGACACACACTGCAGTATTGATGCTGAAACGATATATTGGGAAGCCCTAAATTTAATCCATCCAAAAATGAAAACTTAATTTACAATGCAGCATTTTGGGAGCCTGATTTTAAAAATAGGTTTTGTAAGAGCACATTTATGAAAATGATACAGTTTTTGTCTCACATTACCAATCACTGGCCTGGCATTCATAAGATAGCATTTGTAGTCCTTTTTGTGAACAGGATTCCAGTGAACAGGAATTGTTTTGACTCTTTTATTTATGTATTTTTTTATGCAAAGAAATACAATTACTAGACTGGGTGTCAAAAATCTCAAGATAGAGATGTACAGCTTCTGTTTAACAGAATTTGCTCTGATGATGCATGGTTGTGTTCACACAACAGCAGAATACAGTTGTCAGTCTGTATTAGCACACCATATGGCCATTTTCACACAGCTTGGGAATCAAAAAGAGTGACAACTACATTTCTTAACAGAGAAAATACAGTAAAACAGACAAAAAAATGGAAAATTCAAGGAAAGATAAAAAGTACTGATTTATTTAATATTTGTATTTATTTTTCCATTTGAAATTAAATGCATTATATTTCTATTACTAAAAAACAAACTCCTATTTTAATGGATATAACGGATGGATAAAACAGTTTTGCTTAAATGCACAAAAATATTGCAAAAATATTCTTTTTCATGTTTATTATATGTTACCTATAAGATCCAATGTTTTAATAGGGTGGAGAAACTATGACGTCAATTTGTATGTGTAAACATGGGAGTGAGTTAGCATTTTAGTAGTTCCGGTATCTTCGTCCTTCAGTCAATCGGTTTTATGAATGGGATTTAGATTGGTGGCTACCACAAACTCAATATACTTTCACGTTTTATTCTATGAGATAAAACACATCAGTTACATCTCACTCTTGATTTTTTTAAAATCGATTACCCTTCTTTAAAAAGACGGTTGCAATCAAGTTGCTAACTTCGGTGTTGGAGACATTAAATGTACGTCATCGAGCTGATCTGTCTGGAACGCAGCCTGCTTTAAAATTACCGCTTGCGTCGGGCATTTGGATTGATCTGCTATTTGGTTAAGTATTTTCATAAGTATTTTACAGTTGTAGTATTTTTTTAATTAAGCATTCATGTTGTTTATAACTGCTTTGTATACTTGTAGAGACGTCAAGAGTCATTTGTTGATCCTTTATTTTAGTAAAGCTATTTTAAGATGCTGCTTAACATTATACAGCCGATGTCTTTCCTGCTCTCAGTGAAGCAAATGTGTAAATACTTAAAAAAACATATTTACTGACATTTTATTGTGATCAATTTACATTAACATACATCTAATGATTTTACGTAGTTTTTTTTTCATTGGACGAAATTTTAACTATAACTGCGATGTTTACAATCTGTAAAATCCTGTACACTCACCCTTAATCTTATAGCATGTGACTGTATGGGCTGCTTTTCGCTGTACTTAATGACAAAAAATATATATATTAAATGTTGTTCTCTATTCATGATGGGACTTGCAGGTAGTAATATCAGGCACATTTATAAAACAACAACATCCAACGACTGTAAAGGAAAACATATTTCCCATGGGAAAACTATTCAAAACGTATAACATTAACGATGCATGTTTAATGCCTGTAATAATACTAAAACAATATATTTTTTATGTATTTGTTTATATAGTGTGGATTATAATTAACTAAATCGAGAGAGTCAATCTGTCATGAACCATATTTCTAAAAATAAGCTTAAAACGCTGTCTGTAGCAGGGTCAGTGTAGTCCGTTTATGGCCCAATGTTAGCTTTTTAATTCTTGCGTTTGCATTTAAGATCCAAAAGTGATAAAAGTTATATTATTGTGTGAGGATTATCTAGTTAGACAAAACATGTAAGTGTAATGAACTGTGTTTGAACAAAGAGCTTATTATTTGCAAACTTCGAAAAGTCTAGGGAAATCCTATTTCGATTTTATCGAAGGAACCAGTTTTATGCTAGTAGCCGATTGGCCAACAATGTGACGTCATAGTTCCTTCACTATTAACTAGTATTACACATTAATAAAAAAATAAAAATAAAAACTTGCTTAGTGGATTGTAGAAATGTGACAAACTATAATGATTTATTATTTATTCATTCATTTTCTTCTTGGCTTAGTCCTTTTATTAATCCAGGGTCGTCACAGCGGAATAAACCGCCAACTTATCCAGCACATTTTTACGCAGCAGATGCCCTTCCAGCCGCAACCCATCTCTGGGAAACATCCACACCCACTCATTTACACTCATACACTACGGACAATTTAGCCTACCCAATTCACTTGTACCGCATGTCTTTGGACCGTGGGGGAAATCGGAGCACCTCGAGGAAACCCACGCGAACACAGGGAGAACATGCAAACTCCACACAGAAACGCCAACTGACCAAGCCAAGGCTCGAACCAGCAACCTTCTTGCTGTGAGGCGACAGCACTATCTAATAATATATAATGATATAATATGACATTATTAAATTATTATCACCATGATATAATATGACATTATTAAATTATTAAGTATTTTAGAAGTAATTAAATGTCAATAGAGTTGTTGTCAAATTATTATTGTTCTTAATATGCCTGAAAACATATTTTGGTAAAAGAAAAACTATTAAAAACAAATATTTAATGGACATCTTCATGGTAAATTGCATGTTGCTTTTTATTTATTTGATAAAAAAAAAAAACAGGACTGTAATTCTAATGCATCGGGGAAAAATAACTATTAAATTACATTCATGTCTGAAAACTCCTTTCATCATAACAAATACTGCATAAAAATTATTCTCATCTGAATCAAAACATGTGTCATCTACTTCTTACCAGAATGGATCAGCACTTTCCTAACCACATCCTCATCATCATACATTATTATGTGCACAAAGCCACTGTTTAACATGCATCTCAAGAGGTTTAGTTGCTGATAATAGATTATCACCACAGATCTGTCATGATGATCTTGGTGATAAAGAAGATGATGATGCGAGGAGAAGAAAGATGAGCACAATGGTCATGAGAAGTGCCATTAAGGGATTTTTCACGGCACTTCAAGTAACTGACTCTCAATGTAACATTACAGAAGAAAAATAACATCCTGCATTGATCCTTTCTGAATGACTAAAACATATAACGGACTTTCCAATGAGTTCGCATCACATATCACATCTCTGAATTCAGTTTTTTTCATTTTAAACATTATGATATAACAATAGCCTGAAGATATGATTATCACCACATTGGTAAACAAGCCAACAAATAACTGAACAGATGAGACTGACAGAAAGGACATTGACGACAGGTAATATATAACATTTAAAGCTTCCTACAAATAGTTACGAGCTTATGAAATTAACGAGAAACATACTGTACGCAAAAACATCATATTCTTAAAAGTTATACAGAGGGTTGCAAACTTACACCGGTTATTTCGACGTTTGCCTTTAAACATGGTCATTCTGAAGTGCTCCAGTTTGGCGGTTGTTGAATCCTGCTCGAGCTCGGATGAAGAGACCGATTCTCCGGACCTCAGCGGCGATTTTGTGGAAACGGATCCGCTTTTGGCGAAGGTGAGGAAAAGAGAGCCACTATTACAGCAGACGCTACCATTACTGGGCTCTGGAAAGGGGTGCTTCCCTTTATATCATGATAAGACACTGCTGTAAGTAAGGCGAGACGGCTGGTTAATTAATATTTATGATCCAGTCGGAGGAAGAACGCGCAACGTCAGAACTGAGGATTAATATTCAAGGTACGACCGTTGCTCATTGGATGGTTACTAAGGAACGTCAAGGCGTATGTGTTAATATTCATGAATCTTCAAAATGCTATTTAATATTATTTGCATGCAGGTGTTTAGATGTAGTAGAGAAGTAACAATACCTGACTAAATAAATAAATTAATTAATTAAATAAATAAATAAATAAATAAATATAGCAGGGGTTTGTTCTATTCGGTCTGAGATCTTTAGATAAAAACAGTATGAAGAAATACACAATTAAATGTATGAATTTTTTTTTTTTTTAAATAAGCCTAAATTAAATATTTAAACTTTCTAATAAACCAAATATTAAATCTAGTATATTTACAACTTTTGTATGAGAAATGACTGTATATTATTAAAAATACTGTATATGTCAATTTTAGGGTCTGTGGAATCAAAAAGATTGAAAACTGCTGCAATATATATTTATATGCAAGACAAAACAAATCTAATGTTAAAGAATGGGTTTAAATACAGTATGTTACTTTTTTGCAGCTTATAAGTTATTTACTTATTTTTCTACTTTTTAAACTGTTATATTTTTCAGAAATTCACAGTTTTTATTAACATTTACTCAATATTTTGCATTGCACTTTAAATTGATATTAGTATTAACATTTAATTCTATTTTGTCAAAGTCAAAGTCCGCTTTATTGTCAATTCAAGCACATGTACAGGGCATACAAAGAATCGTAATTGCCCTACTCTTTGACACTAGGTGCCTAACATATACTACAGTATTAAAACAAAAAGTAGATTTAAAAAAATGACAATAAAAATAATTATACAAATAATGTAATCTAAAAATAAAAGTAAAAATAAAAAAACAGAGTTGTGCAAATGCAAAAAGTACAGTATAATGCAAAATAATTTACTTTTCTTTTTCAGAATCTGACTATCATGAAATGCTGCATTCATCAGACCACAGATTTTCCTCAGAAAATGAAAAAGTGAGCCTGTAATCACATTCAATATTCAAATTATGCTAAATTATAACACAATTAAAATCCATTTGACAGCCGAATGAGCTCCGAATACAGAACACAGTATGTGATACATGTTTCAACACAGATGAAAATCAAGACAAACATTTCGTATTTTACAATACAGCATCTACACTGTTCACAATTTCCAGTTTGCCAGTCAAACTGTAAATCAATTTCAATATAAATACTATATAAATAATAAATACAATGTAAATAATGCATGCAAATCAGATGTAATATACCTAATTGTGCATGTTTGAGAAACCATAAACTAGCATTCCCTTTCAAATATCCAGCAAAACAAAGTCTAGACTTAAAATACAGAATATGTCATTCATGTTTCAACAGAGATGAAAAACAAGACAAATATGTTGTATCTTAATAAAATACAGCATCTAGACTATTTAAAAGTTCCTGTTTGCCAGTAACTTACTGTAAATCCATTACAATATAAATACTGTATTTACATTTACAACACCATTTATCTTGCTGTATATGTATATTTAGTATTGAAAATCTTTATTGTGTAAAACATACAGTAATTTTTAAAATGCAACTTTAAAATACAGTCATATACTGCAATACGGTCCTTCAGTAAAATACAGTTTATATTACACCTAACCCTAACCCTAACCCTAATTTACAAAAATCATTGCCAGTGTATGGAAGCAAAATTACATGCAAATCAGGTGTAATATACCTAAATGTGCATGTTGCCAGTAACTAACTATAAATCAATTACGATATAAATAAATAAAATGTATTTAAAATAAATAAAATGTATTTACATTTACAGCACCATTTATCTAGCTGTATATATTTATTAAGTATTGTAAATCTTTACTGTAAAATACACAGTAATTTCTACTGCACACTGTTCACAATTTCCAGTTTGCCAGTAACTAACTGTACATCGGTTACAATATAAATACTGTATTTAGATTTAAAGCACCGTTTATCTTGCTGTATATGTATATTCAGTATTAAATTCAATATTTTTACTGTAAAATATACAGTAAATTTCTCAATGCAACTGTAAACTACAGTAACATCCTGCAATAACTATTCTACAGTAAAATACAGTTCATATTACAGTTAAATACTGTCATTTACAAACATTAACAATGCATGGAAGCACATTTGCATGCAAATCAGATGTACTTAAATGCGCATGTTTAAGAAACCATACTAGCAATCCCTTTCAAATATCCTGCAAAATAAAGTCTAGAACCTAAATATGAGCTGAGAAAAAGGAAAGATACGCTATAACAGCATCCCAGTTTATTACAAACTGGCATGACTTTCACCTCACATTTAGGATCATTTGCATAAAGCTGCATAAAGCCCCCGGGTTCTGGGACCAAATATGATGCAATTCAGCACGCTTCACCTTAAAAAACACTGTATGATAATTCTCTCAGTGAGCAACATCTGCTATTATATTATAAGCCCACTGTTATAATGTCTGCTGCAAGGGACTGTGTTGTTAAGGAGACAGAGAGAGAGAACCTATGCAGTGCTCTTCTCCTAATAATGTGTGATTTATTCCGTTAGCTGTCACTGCATGGCTATCAGTGTGTGGGTTGTTTTGACTAAAATAGCTTGGAAAATATACTTTTTAAAGATCTGACTGCAGTGTAAAAGACTGAAGGACATTGCTGGCAAAATTAGCATATTTCTGGCCAACTTTTAAAGATTTTCTGTAATATGACCACCATGTCCAAAACATTCACTCGCATTTAATAGTGCAAATCATATGACAAGAACTATAAGAGAACAGGTGTTAATTTCTTCTATGCAACATTTTATATATATATATATATATATATATATATATATATATATATATATATATATATATATATATATATATATATTACAGTTCGCAAATCAATGGGAGGCATTCTTTTATTTTAGGGGGTCCATTATTATGTTTCTGAAAGCATATTAAACAGTCTATGTCTGAAAGCAATGTTCCAGAAGCAATTTGGAAACACAACAGCGCCATCTTCTGGATAACACAATGCTGCACCTTTATTTTTTAATTAAGTTATATTATTTGTTCTTATATCCGTGGTGCAAAGATGTATGAAATATTAATCAATTAAGATATATAAAATGAAAAACACATTGTTTTAAATGAAAAAACAGGGCACACCAAATATTTATCATACATATTGTTTAATAAATGTCATGGGTCATTATCACTATAAAGTGCCTTTGATGTCCCACAAGATTGAATCAGTCCTATATGGACCTAATGTGAAATAAATAAATTGTGATGTTTTAATATTATTGGTTAAACCTTCACATACATGCAGGTAGAATTATAAGTTTTAAAATAAGTTTTGTCAATTTTTGCCATTTCTTTCATTGAATGGATGTGATTTTGCCATGTCCCATGCACTGCTCAGCCAACTTCAGCGAGTCTAAAAAGTAGGTAAATTAAATCAAATGTAAAGATTTTTAAATATTCCTATTGTCTTTAACAAGTTATTTGACAAAAAAAGTCATTTTACTAACTTTTGGGTTTTATTATGAAAACAACGTGCAACGATTGCATGTTTTATTAGGAAATAAATACGTTTTGTCCATTATTTCATTATCATAAATAGACATTTTCCATAATCTAAAAAGTTGGGTTGGTAAAGGGACACATTACCTTTCTGAAAATATACATTTTATAATCACACTGCAATGAAAATACACTTATACTACTTTGAATATGTCCATGACAGGCTAAACATAATTTGAGGTTTGTTTTCTGTTTTTCTGCTTTCAGATTATTTATCAAATGTGCAGGAGCTTGACCAAGATTCATTTCATACAGCCTAAGGTCTAATTAATACAACAACTATGTGGTTGAATCAAAAATCTCAAACTTTTGATCCCTCAAAACATCAATTTTGATGTCTCAAGGGCACTTTATAGTGATCATGACCCTCATATTATTTGTTAAAAATATCAATTGTTTGTTTCAAAGTTCAGTGATAATGGCTGTTTTGTGAACGTTTTGAGGTCAATTTCAAGATTTTTAGGAGATTATTTGCTTACTTTCATTGCAAATCAATCATTCAATCACACACTCAGTAAATTATCCATTCATTCATTTTCCTTCAGCTTTGTCTCTTTATTCATCAGGGGTCACCACAGCGGAACGATCTGCCAATTTATCCAGTACATGTTTTACACAGCAGATGCCCTTTCAGCAGCAACCCTGTACTGGGAATCATCCATACACACTCACATATTTTTTTTAATGTCAATATCACAATATCACAACGTTTCAACCGACATGGTCTTCATCACCTGATGAAGACCATGTCGGTCGAAATGTTGTGATATTGTGATATTGACATAAAAAAATTTTTTGAGAGCTAAAGTGGCAGTGTGCCGATTTACTTTGAATCTTTTGCTATTATGGCACCTTCCCAACTATGGGTCATTTTAACCCAATGCATGGGGTTATATAATTTAACACAATGCACTGGGTTATTTTGATTAAATGTTATTTTTGTTCATTCTGGTATTACTATTGCTACTATTACTAGTGCTATTATTAATTTGATAATTATGGCGGTGTAACTAAATAACATGCAGTTTTCAAAAATATCGAAAATGCTTATTTTCCATACATTTTAAGTTCCAGAAACTTAAGCGTTTTCATCCATTTAATATAGATCGGCTATTTAGCGCACATTTTTATCATCAATAATTAAGAGTGCTGGTGAAACAGATATACTAAACACGACACGAAGAGATAATTTGATAAAAACAACAACATTATTATTGCTTTAGAGCTTAAATAAACCTTACAACGCAAAAACAACATTACATATGCAAGTTAATAAGTTGACTTGAAAATCTAAGATATTTTTAACCCAGCTGGTTGTGTATCCCCGGGGAGTGACTCATACAACTGAGGTAAGATCCAAATGCAGGTTTTTTCTTCGTCAGACAAGAAATGGTCAATACAAGTGCAAACGGGTATGTGAAGGCAGTC